GGCAATGGATCTTCAGCAAATGTTAACGTTCTCAGTGGGCCCATTTTGATGACTTTTAGCATCACTGCATATCCAGCTGGTCTTTATTGATAGAAAATTACTACAAATTTAGAGATTAACCAAAAACATAGTGTCAACTGTGGAGTGAGCTTGCGGGTCTGGGCCTGTGTGCATGCTTGTGAGTTGTATGGTCCTCCCTTGTCTTCCTGACAGTATCGATAGAAGTTCTGGTTTCCGGGGGTTGTCAGTATTAAAGGACATAGTCCACGCACCTAATGCAGCCCAATGGCGGCCACAAAACAAGCCACCGGGTTTTATGTTTTGCTTTAAACAATGTTTAATTAATTAAATTTGTTCTTTGGCAACCACACTTATGTATAAGGCATTTTATTAGTCTCACATCCAATCTATCATACCCACCTAAAAACTCCCACTTAAATGTCCCTTTCCAAGATCCCTGTCTTTTTGTTTGTTTTGTGACTCACCAAGTTTTACCAATGCTCTTGGTGTGACCATGGGTTTGGAAGTATCCACCAGAGCCTGGTGGTATCTGTAAATTGTTTTAAATACTTGCTCTTTTAAGAACTAGCCTTCAGCTTTTCCCAAAACTATTCATGCATATCCACCATTCTAGTTAAAGAAGGAAAACATGACTTCAGCTGAAGTGTGAAAAGTCTGCTGCATTGTACTATCACCTCATGCTCAGTTAAAATCCCTAAGATCAATGAAATTTAAGTCATTGTGATAATAGCTTCTTTTTATTTATTGCCTCCTATAAGTATGTTTTTAAAATTTAAGTTTACAGTGTTTCTTATTTTATTAATGTTATTTCTAGCAAAAAGTCTGCTACTAAAAAACGGCAGTTATGAAGTTTGCCTATATAACTTGATACGGACTAGAATGCTCCGGGAAGTGGTCCCTCCCATGCCTTTGTCAGCCACATGAGGCTTACTTAGTCAATAAGGAAATGAAGAGAAGAGCAGAAGAAGTGGCTGAAGGGGGAAGAGGACAAAAAGGGATAAACAAGATCAAAATTCATCCCAAATGTATGAAAAAGTCATAATGAAATCCATCATTATATATAATTAATACATGATAGTAAACATATTTAACAAACAAGGCACCCTGCCCCCCCCAAAAAAGAGTGTTCTTTCCAAATTGTACTTCTTCTTGTCCATTAAATTTATCAAAAAAAAAAAACCTGTCTTTAGAACCATAACTCAGGGCATGATGGAGCCTGGCCTAGCACAACCTGGATGGGAGGAAATGCCAAAGCTCGCTTCAGTCTCTGTGAGTGGGAGACACATGTAGATGATGCACGTTCTGAACCATGACAAAAGCCCTGATTTTGAAAGCTGGTGCTTTGTTGGTAAGATTTGGACTACAGGGCAGAATATACAGAGACACAAATGCCATGATCCTTTCCTTCCCAAGACTGGCTTACAGGGCCCCCATTCCCTGTTTCGAGAAGGAGTGGATACATGGCGTGATCAGATAGCAGTTCAGAGCCTCCCTCCCTGGCTGTAGTGTATATGAGATAGCTCATAACACATGGAGACACACCTAAGTGGCCATTATCCTGAAGCATTCTGAGATAAAGTTTAAAAAGTCCAAGTGATCATGGAAACAGGGCAGAGAGAAATTTGGGGTGGAGTCAACTGGCAGATAAAGTAGGGGGAGTGTCAAGAAGGATTTAGATGACTTAAAGGAAACCTAACTTTCCCAGTGTGCAAAGTGCTGCAATCATCTTCTGGTCTATTAGTTTCTCCTGCATGTGCTGTCAGGTATGGTTTGTCTATAGGACACATGGTAACTCATGTGTGTGTGTGTGTGTGTGTGTGTGTGTGTGTGTGTGTGTGTGTGTGTGACAGAGACAGAGACAGAGACAGAGACAGAGACAGAGAGAATGTGTGTGTGTATGACTGTGTGCATGATGTGTGGGAACACTTGTACACTAAAGTTAGACTGCAGCCTCACCCACTCCATGTCACACCTGGATACTAAGATTTCTGCATAGTTGAGTTAACTGTCAAAATGCTCAATGTTTTCATAGTTCATCTAGCTCACGCCCATCTTCAGAAATCCCTCTCTCAATACATGTCATAGATACCTGGTTTCTCGGCATGAATTTCTGGGGGTTGACTTGATAGAGTCAGGTAGACAAAAAAAGAAGAAGAAAAGCCTAGAGGAATTGTCCTTGAAAGAGGATGAAGAACTCAAAAGAGAAGCCAAAAAATTGGTGAGATATGACTGGAAAGTGATGCTTGTGGGCAAAAGCTTGGGAGGCCCCTAGTGGTCCCCCAAGTATCACTAAACTAGAGAACAGATTTCTCATTGATCACAATTACAGTTTAACTCTTCCCAAAATGATTCACTTATACCCTTTGTGAGAAAACCAGTGAGGGCTTAGAATTTACTCCCAAATACTTTAAAAAGGATTAAGATTTTAAAGTTCATGCCTAAGGAATTTCAATTGCTTATATCCACAATTTACTTTTCATAAAATATCTTACTTCCCAGTATGTCAGATAAACGAAATACTGTGCACAGGATCCTAGGGCAAAAGAAATTCTCTGTTCTGTAGTTATTTAAGGAAAGGGAATGTTGATTTGAGGATTTTGCACTTCTGTTGAAAAGCGGCCAAGGTCTCAGCTTCTCTTTAAGAGTATCCGTCATGCACATGTGGTTATTTGGGGGTTGAGGTACTAGATGGGTGTTTTTCATAGTTCCTAACACACTATAATCATTCTGTTGCTCTTATCACTATGACTCCATCTCACTCTTCTTCCCCTGGTTTTCTGTTTATTGACTAGGTCTTCACTGTCCGTGTTTTCCTTGACAGAGGAGTCCATGTGTGCTTTTGTTTGTTAAGTGGTATTTACATTCACTAGTGTTCCATATTGGGCCACACTAAGTGCTAAGGAGAATAGATGCTTGTAGAGGCAGCTGCCATATGTATTGTGGAGCCACAAATGGTGCATGGTGGGAAAATAAGGACTTCTTCCGCAAAATGTAGAACTGAAGAAACTCACAAAGTTCAACTGTAAAAAGTTATCTTCAAGAAGGAAAAATGGGCCATAACAAGAACTGCATTAAAATACTAACTCATTTAAAAATCTTAGAGCCTAAAAGGATGTATTGATCAAAAGATAATTTTAATGAAAGACAAAATGTGCTAGGTAGAAAAGACAGAGGGTATTTTATATAAGGAATTGTTCATTTGTTGAGTTGTTGATGTGTGTTGATGCTGGGGATTGAATGCAGGGCATTGTGTAACACACACACACACACATACACACACACACACACACACACACACACACACACACACACGAATTAAAAGAAAAATAAAGAGGCTGTACCAGCAATATGTCAGGCCAAAGGTCAAGGAGCATTCTTATAAATGAGTAGGAGGCAAACTGCTGTGAGCAGGTCTAGAAATGAGTAATTCCATCCCAGGACAGATAGATAGTAGAGAGAAAAAGCCCTAGTACTGTAGCTCCATGAGTAACATTATTGCCGATGGATGAAGATTGGGTCTATTCTACAGATGTTTACTAAATCTCTCTGGCCATATACCTCAATTTCAGGCTCCTGGAAAACAGCCTTCATTGACTTCCTTACTGCCCTTGGCTTTGCTAGGCTTCTTCTTTAAAATCTGCTCTTTGGGCTCTTCTTTAATAATGTTTTCCTAGCTGTCTTTTCAGGTGTGGTGACCTCTTTCTCCAAGGGTTGTGAATGATTACTCTGTATTAGATGCTGAGTGTTTGCCTATGATGCGTGTGAATGTATTTACTCTGTCCCTTTTCATTATGTGCCTCCCACATTTGAGGCATAGTGCTTAGCTATGGAAATAAACAGATAAGTAAGAGTCATGGTTTCCTGAGGGAGCCTACAGTATTCTGGAAAAAACAGGCAATTAAACATGGCATAATAACACCACAGTGGGATGAATGGTTAAAAGCTGTGATGGGGATGTACCGTAGGCTATAGGGAGCATCCAACCATGGTCATATGGTCATGGGGCACTTAGAGTGATTCCTGGAGAGTGGACTCAGGGAAGACTTCTGGAGCTTAATCTCATTTTGATAGTAGTTCTTATTTAACATGGCCAAACTTTTGTTTCCCATGGTGCAATGCTAAGTAAGTTTGGGGAGTCAATATTTCTAACAAACTTGATTGTGCTGACTCTTACGTTCCTTTTCATAAGAACATTTGCTTGAGTAAACAGAGATGGCCACTCCAGTTTCTCCTGTTTCTACCAGTTCGATGAAGAACTGCATGGCCTGTTAGAAGTTTCTCTAACCCAATTGTGAAAAACATGACAGTAAGAACAGGGGATAGCTCATAGATGAGTTAATGTTGGAAGGAAGATAGAGTCAAATCACTTAGATACAAATCCAAACTCAAGTGCTTGTCTGCTGTGTGACTTTGTGCAACCCACATCAGCTGCATCCCTCATTCTCTTCTCTTGTAAAGGCAGGCTAATGATACAGCACCTTCCTTTTGGCAGGCTGTGAGGAAAGGGTTTAGAAGTGAGGCTGTGTCCACTTAGAACAATGACAGATAGATCTTGAATAACTTATAATGCAGTGGCAAACAAATAAGGTCCCCTTTATAGCCAAAGCATCTACTAAGGATGCTTTTAGAACACATATAAATACAAGAATGAATGTGTCCACTTTATCTTTTTTGGCCTGGGACATAAATGATATCACTTGATGTGGCCTCAAACAAGAAGGCTTTTCCTTCTACAGTGTTGGAGTCCATCATTCTCTCTGTACTAAGTAGCTTAACATCATGGTGTTTAAAGTAAAGCATGCCTTATCCTTTGAGAAGAGGCAGCATCTGGAGCAGGGTGGGTGATTTAGAGCAGAGTGGGTGTTTAGAGCAGGGTGGGTGACTGGTGACTCCAAGAAAGCATAATGGGAGGTGCTTGCTTTACTAGATACTTGCTATTGTCTTGTGGCCATAGTAAAAGCTGATTATTCTCTTCCCAGGTGTGATCATAACTTACGGGTTATATGTAGACGATGCATTAATCCACAATTCTTCAGAACTCAGCTGCCATGCCTATGGATTTGATCCTGGGAGCTTGCACACCTTTCAAGTCCAAGCATGCACAGCCAAGGGTTGTGCTATGGGCCCATTGGTGAGTGTGTGAATTTACATTCTGGGATATGGGAACTGCTGGGTGATGCTAGGTTTCAAGGGAGAAGTGAGAGCCTGTCAAGCACAAGAGCAGATTATTCCTTTTATTAAAGTTCATTTAAGAGTTGTTTTAAGTTCAATGTAGATTTCAGGGCTGTGTGTACATCTGGGGGAAAGAATAGATACATTCATGAATAAACAATAAGTTGGCTGCTTTAATAGACATACGTACAATTGTGCCTGCTTTGATGATAAATGAAAGGTACATGTTTTTCTTCTTAATGATTCCCTAATAACTACATTTATGATTAAAAAGTGAATATTGAAAACTCTAATTCCCAGAATATACTTAGCTTGTTGTCTGACAAGCATATTAATCAATTAAGGAATTGAACTTACTTCATCTCTTATAATAAACTATTTTTATTTTATGAATCAGATACAGCTTTATAAGAATGGTATTTAAATTTTTATTAATATCTGGGTTTGATGCTCACATTTCACAAGTCTATAATGTGTATCTCTGTTTCATTGACAGTTAAAAGCATGAAAAAATTATCCTTTGGTTTCCAACATCATTCTCTAAATTCAGTTAATAATGTATGCCCACCACAGACCAGCATAGCATTATTTAGTATAAAAATAATACATTACACTTTTATGTATTTTCTTGATTAAACAGACTTAGCTTCTTTTTCAGAGAAATACTCATTAGTTTATTAAAATTACTCATAGGTATTTTTGGCAATGTTTGCTAATTCCCTATCATTTTAATGCACTCTGTCTTCATTGAAGAGTATATTATATAAATATTACCACAAAAAACTCAGCTCTTCAATTTAATTTGTACTCCCTTACTTTTGATAGCACCCCACCCCCACCCACTCTGAGACGGGTTGCTTTCCAAGAAGGGAAAGCAGTGCATTGGTGAGACTGGGTTTGAGTCTTTATTGCTATCAAGCATTTATCTACAGACCCCTCTGATGGATACTAACCTTTAAAAGCAGGAATGGCAGGAGGCCAGCACTTCTCCATTTTTCCATTGAGAGAGATGAGGGAGACAGAGGGAGGGAGGGAGAGTCACACAGAGAGAAACAGAGAGGGAGAGACACACAGAGAGAGACAGAGAGAGAAAATATATATTAAAGCAAAGAAATACTTCTTATGATCTTAAAAACGTGCGCTTTTTTCCCAGTGTGAACTGTGAGTTGTGTTCTGGTTACCCCAGTTCATCTCCAAGATATTCCAGGAACCTTAAGCAAGGGGACACAGTTATCGCTCTCTGTCCTGTACAGATGGCAGGCAATGTTAACCTTAGAAATCAAATACCACAGGCCCTGATAAGAAGGGAAAGGAGAATTGGGTTGTAAACTCAAGCCTGCCAGGTCCCCATCCATTCCAGTCTCCATGCCGGTGTGGAGCACAAAACCATCTCCTCCGCTTGACACTTTTCTTTCCTCTACTCAGCTCGTCCTTAGTAGTGACTTCTACATTTTAGAGACATTAATACACTGGGCTTTTTTTTTAATCTTTTGCAAATTTAATAGCACTGTTACCCATACATGCAGAAAAATACTATTCAGCATGCCCTTAGCAAATATGCTTCACAGTCTTAAGTGTGGCATCGTAAACACTTCACATGGGTAAATGGCCCTTAGGATGAAAATAGAATGGTACAAATTTAGTGAAGTAGGGGTTTTAAAAATAAGTCATTTGTACATCAATTTCATATTCTTACTGTTTTGATAGAGTAAGGATTTGATAGCTCAATGGGTTTTGTCATCCCAGCCTGACCAAAGGGAGCTATTTGGGGTGATTAAGGCAGAATTACTCTATTCCCATCTAATTCCCCTGTGGTTTGTCCCATTATTGTCCATTTAAAGAACATACTTGACTTCTGAAGGATTTCTAATATAAAAAAAAAAAAACCACTTTGGAGACTGAAGAGATAGCTCAGAGCTTATGAGCGATTGCTGCTCTGGCAGAGGACCTGAGTTTGGTTCCCAACACCCACATCAGGCTGCTCACGACTTCCTTAGACCCCAGATCCAGCAAAACCAACACTGTCTTTTGGCCTCTGTGAACTCCTGTAACTCATGTGCCCACGCCCACACACTGAAACACACACCAATGCATAATAAAAACTAATAAAATAGATCTGTAAAGAGAACTAGGCACAGGCATGGCTTTCTGCAGGTGCTGGAAAACAGGGGAAGAAGCCACCCTCTACCTGCTATTTCAGGCTCCTTCACAGAAACGCACTTGTTCTGTGAAGCCTCTGATTTCCCAATGATGCTTACCTTTAAAGGCTTAGCATGAAAAAGTAAATGAAATGTTACTTACCTAAGAGTTTCTGGAGCATATTACGAGTTTTCTGAAGAATGGGATTTTTGTTGAAATGTATCTGTGTTTCCACACACATTTGTTCTCAAATTTATTTTCTATTTCAAAGAAAAATTTTAGGTCAAAGCTGAACCAACTTCTACCCTCCCAAGATCCTTTTCCATCATATTCATTTTAAGGCAACATAGATATTTTTTAATTCAAAAAAGAACCCTCTTAGTCAGAGAAAAATGGTATGGTCAATTTTAGTGTAGAATAAAAGTCAGAATATTTATCCAAACACTGAAGGAAATCTAAGAAGATGTTTATCTTGAATTAGCCAGGGTATTTTAAGTGAATTATCTGGAATTACCATTAATTATTCATTTTTTTGAGCATCATTTTTTTGGAACTCTTTTAAACCCCTTTCTGTATAATGATTGGAATTGTAACCATAGACATAGTTAAAGTAGCTGCATTGTTATGAAACATTAAATTGATGAATGAGCTTTTCCAATCTTGCTTTTTATGGCTTGTTGTGCATAGCTGTTCGTGTCTGAAGCAAGGCATGAGCAGAAAGCAGGGCTCCAAAGAACCCCAGAGCCTCTCTCTGATAAAGAGAAAACACCTGCAACCTCATGCTTATTAAAAATTAGCACTCAGCCTTTTTCACATTTATTTTCATAACTGAAAAAAATGTATTCACCTTAACAAATAAAGCCTTCAGAACTAAGACTATTTGCCTGCCACGGGAACTCATATTTGATCATCTTCTTTTGAGGCATAAATGAGTCTGTTTAGTGTTTGTTTGGGGATGAAGACATGGCTCAGTTGGTAACATACTTTCCCTAGAAGCATGAGAACTTTTCTCTGGTTCCCTAGAACCAGATCTAAAAACCCAAAGGTGGTGGTATGCCCTGACAGCCCTGACTCTTGGATGACTAAGACAAGAGGGTGAACAGGGAGCTCCACCAAGCAAGCCCAGCCTGTTGACGAGTTCTGGGCCAGAGAGAGATGCTGACTTAAAAACAACATGGATAGCTCTTATGGAACAGGTCCTTTAGTTGCTCTCTGGCCCCCACATGTACATGTATGCACCTGCACATACAGGTTCAATCATGCACACACAAAGAATAAGGTGAAAATTACCTGCATAGTCAATACACTTTAGAAGGTCAAATAAGGTCCACTGATGCTTAGTTTATCGAGTTCTAGCCAGAGATTAAAAGATAATGAAAAAGAAGATTGTGAGCCCCTTTCTGCTTTCTTGCCAACAACTTTGTCTTCCTTTGGACACTTGGTCATTGTACTTGGTTATCAGGCCATTTCTGACCCTTGTCCTGGTCAAGACTCCTTTTTATTTCAGGGTTCTTCTTCATTTTCTGCACAGGCAGACTAATATCACAGCAGCCTCTTATGTGATTATTTCTTGGTTTAGAGTCACTACGGTACATTCATTTCTTGATGCCCACATGAAGCTGTTCATGCAAAATGTAGCCTCACTCCATGGGGAATCAGAGGCAGTTTATTCTGAGCTGAATGTGAATGAACATGACACAGAAATGTGGGTTTTGGCTGCCCTGAGTAACATGTTACATGTAGAAACATTCATGAATGCTTCGTAGTCACAGAACCAAAGCATAAGTAAGTAAGCAAATAAATAAATAAATAAATAAACCTGTGCACTCACCAGATACAGTGACAGGAACATTAGATAGGCAGGCTACAGAAAAGCCAGGGACTTTGCTGTGGATCCCGGATGCAGTCTGATGACATCCTTGGCCTTTGGATTGGCAGAGGCTTGTAGTCTGCTCAGTGAATGCATTCCAGAGATTTCACTTGATGGTCAAGAGGATGTGAATCAGGTTCAGACATGGGTGGTAAATAACTATGCAGGGAAAAAAGGAAAAACAAAAGATATCTCAAGATAAACGTGGCTATGGATATTCAATATCCCAACACTTCACAAACACAAGAGGCCCTAGTCAGTTTTTAACTTATATTAAACATCAGTTTCTTCTTCAGGGAACTTTCAGCTAGTGGTGCCATATTTTCATGCAAAAGAGGAACAGAGAGAGAGAGACACACACAGAGAGAGAGACAGAGGTGGGGGAGGGAGAAACAGAGAGGGGGTGGCTTTTTCTCAAACCCAAGAGTCCATCCTTCCCATCAGAAAATTGGGAATTTAGGGAAACAGACCATGTGTATCGCTAAGAAATTATTCTGAAGCAATTCTGAAAATAGTCTGTGGTTACACACAGCCATGGACACAGGCTCACCATGAGCCAGTCAACATCCTCTGGAAATGACAAAGCACAGTCTTGATCAGGAACTGAACTTCTAAGCTTCCGGCAGCAGGAGGAAGAAAACACAAGGGATGCTTTGATCCTGCTGACTAAACAAGGTACTCTGACAAGATGCTGCTGTCACCATAGTTTGCTTGCAGCAAAAAGATTCTTTGAAGACATTTGCCCAAATCAAAGCATGCACTTATTTTATTTGCAAACACAATAAATCTTTTTACATTCACAGGTAGAAAATCGGACTCTAGAAGTTCCGCCTGAAGGCATGGTCAATGTACTTGTCAAAACTGAGGGATCCCGAGAAGTCCACGTGCAGTGGGAAGCACCTCTTCACCCTAATGGGCACTTAACCTACTCAGTTCTTTTTACTGGAAGTTTCTATGCAAATCAAGGTAAATTGTGTGCAATTCTTACACCTTCAATAATATCAGAAAACTGTTTAACTGTACCTGAACACTTGCTTTTAGCCTAATTTTCATTTCTGGATTTTCCCTAAAAATACAACCTCTGTGGATGAGTTAGAAAAGCTGTGCTTAGTGTGCGGTCCCCAGAGCTGCAGAGATGGCCACAGCTGGGGTAGGAGGGTCCAGCAGTATGTGTCTCAGCACACTGTACAGATGGTTCTTATGTGCAAACCCAGGTCAGGTTCACGGGACAAAGGTGGTTTCATTTCTGGCATTTAAGCCACCTGTGTTTAGCCATCCCAACACTATTAAATAGAAGATTCCAGAAAAAGAGGGAAAGACTACGTGTACATGGTTTCTATTCTATCATATTGATACAATAGCTCAGTTTAATTTTTACTTCTGGTTAGTTTCTAACATTCTGACTTATACATTAAGCATAACCATAGGTGTGGACAATCAGCGTACAGCTGCGGGTTGTCATGGTCTGTGATTTGAGTCACCTCTGGGGTGTTGAACTGGATCCCCAGCAGAGGAGAGTTCCTGTGTGCCCTTTCCTTTCCTGAAACACAGCTCGAGCCTAAAATAGTATTTGTGCAAAGACTTCAGCTTTGATTTTGCACTCTATCCAAGGTGCAGTATTTCTGGTCGTCATTTTCTTGATTCTCTACTAAACTGGCAATTCGGGTGTGGCAGCTTGAGTTTGGGCCATTGGGGTTCCTTGAAAATGTCATCAAGTTTCAGTAAGTTGGGTTCTGTTAGCATGACTCATTGTAAGCCCACTAGGGAAGGACTGCACAATAGGTCTTACAAGAAACTTTAATTTGTATTTCTAGTAACTGTTTCTTTTGTCACTTTTTCCCAAAGAAATCATGCTAATTTTATTGAGGAGGGTTTTTAATATTTGTTCTCTAACCAGTAGCAAATAGGCAAAGCCATAACAGTTGCACACTCTGGTAAAAAGGAAACAGTACCCTCCCCCCACCAAGATTGTCATGTTTGTTTCTGTGTCATGTCTACTTAGAAGAATTAATTGCATCCCCAATATGTAGAAAAGCATGAACAGAAAGGAAAACAGGCTTTGAAGAAGGTATCGCTGAATTTCCATAGTGTGTCGGCAAGCAAATGAGCACAGTGAATGGACTCTGAGGCAGAGGCTGAGCTGATCCCCTCAAAGATTGGCCTGTCCCTTTTTTATGCAATCAGGGCTTTGATGTATTCTGCTGTGAAGCACTCGTAAGATTATGAGGTGAAGGAGTGATGATCGATTTGAAAAAAGAAGCAACATTTAGGCCGGACCCATGACAGCCCAGCTATTTCCGCCAAGGCAGCCGGGTGAATAATGCAAGAGCCATGTCCCCCTCGTGTTTAATCTTGCATTGTTTTTGCAGAGAACATCTCTGCTTGCCTTCTTAGTCCTGTCATCTTCGGTTGTCATCCCGTCCCTCAAACCATCAAAACGGTATTAAATGTTGCAAAGCTGGGCAGCGAGAGAACTTTCAAAAGTCAGAATCCATTTGCTAAGCAGCCCTTGTAGAAAATGTATTCTGTCCTCGGCAGAATTTTCCTTCACTTCTTTCCACTGAGAAGTTTACTGATTTCTCCCAGTGGAATCTGCTGGAATTTATCGGTTCATGGTTGGCAGTCACAGATTAAGGTAAATGTCGATCCGTAATGACCCTCTACATGTTAGCATTTCAGTAAAGCTGAGCTTTTATGTCAAAGATATCGGAGAGGGAGCTATTACACATGACAGGGGTGATCAAGGGACTCCAGACCAAGGCAAGCATTATTAAATATTGACTAGTTCCGTGATTTATGTAGAGCTGGAGGAAAAAAGTGACTTTTTAACCATTATATATTCTTCAGCAACGAAAACCAGCCATTTATCTCCTGCCGGTAGTGAAGGACAGAGTGCCTGCATATTTTAGTGGCGGGAAAAACCTAGTCTTATAAATGAGATGAACTCCTCCGTGATAACATTTCAGTTTGTTAATTGCCAAAAGCAAAACAGACAAATTGGAAGCAATTACAAGATTCAGCTTCGAGAGTCCTGTGGTGTGCATTTGACTCCGAGTCAGAGGGGACAAGGTGGGAAGCACAGGGAGCATCTTGGAATTAGCCCCAGCAACCTCCTCTGGTTGGTTCTTGACACTGGAAGACTCCTGTCCAATGTCAGGAACAAGGATTTTGACACCTCATCCTCTTGGCTATCAGCAGCTAGATGGCATTTACACCGAGGACAGGGAGGTCTGTGTGGCTCTTCAAGAAAGGAATTAAGAGTTAATTCGTCACAGTTATAAAAGAGATCGTCTGCGTCCCAGAGTTACACATGACTTACTGAATTGTCGGATGGCTAATTGGTTATTTTCTTGACGTGATGAACAACCGTGATAGCTGCTGAGGAAAAGTTAGTGGTTAGGATTCCCAGGGCAGGGAAGAACAGGTGTCGGTGCCTGGGCCATTATTTCTCAAGTGAGGACAGGCAACTCTCTGCAGACACCCACCCAGGAACCTTGTTCCATGTGGCAACTCTGGTTCTGAACCAAAAACTTTACAAAACCAGTGCCACGTTTTGTAACAACTTAGGTAGCCTGTATGGGAAGATTTTCTTTTCCTAAATATGATCCTTTCGTCAGATGTTATTTTCCCATGAGTCAAAATTTAAAAGACAAAAATAAGAAGCAGCCGAAGCTTCCAATCTGTTCATGAGTCTCAGAGGAACTGTGTGCCTAGTCTCTTCTATCATCCACCTGTCTGTCTGTCTGTCCGTCCATCCATCTGTCCATCTCTCTACATGTACTCCTCTATTAAATGATTGCATTCTTCTTCACACACACACAGCTTACTTCTCACACAGATGATACCTAATTGCATGCTGAGGCACCGGTTTGTTTTTGGTTTGGTTTTGTTTTTCTAAATCAGTTTCGGAGATGTTGCAATGAGCATAGGAAAGCTTCACGTTCTCAGTGTGTTTGTTCAGGCATCTTCATTATCTAGCTGGTCCCCTATTAATAGACATTTGTCTAAGTCTGTGGTTATGCAAATAATACCACAATGGATTAATATCCCATTTTATACCTTTACAGGTATATTAATTAGTGAGATGAATTCCTTAAAATGCGTTGCCTGGTGGGAGAATCAGTTTTTCCCAGAGAAGAGCAAAATAAAAAAGTTATAATAAAAATGTATTGCCTGGTAAAGGAAATGTGTTGTAAGTGTGTTAGATACTCCAGATTTCACTCCACAGAGGTACAGATTAGGAAAAGTGTGTGCATGCCACACATATGATCAGCATGTTGTCACACTGACCTTCACTGGCTTGATGTACTGAAAACAGTACCTCGAAGCATCACCACTCTGCAATCCTCCTATCGAGATGTAGTTTGAAGAGATTTTCATACGTAAAGCATTTGGAAATGGACATGTTTCTTCTGTGAATTTGTTCTTTGCCAATCTCTGGCATCTCTTTTTACTGAACTGTAGGATCTCCTTAGATATTAGGAAAGCCTGCTCTAAATATTGCAAATTTTCCCATTGATGTTTTCTCTAGCACTTATAATCATTCCCTCAAAAATGCCCATACTCCAATCCCTCCGATGTGTAATACACAATGTGTAGATCAAACACTAAGTATCCCCTTGTTTCCAAAGTCACTTGTTAAATAATCTGCTTTATCCCCAGGGTTGACAGAGTCCTCTGTGTGCACCTTTGCTGCAGGCTCATGGGGGCAGAGCTGCACCTGTATCTATGTTTCCACTTTCACTTCTGGTTCACTATTTGTTTTGTGGGATTTCCTTCCTTCTATTCCTTCAAACAGCGTTTATGAAGTTCCCATTCCCTGGAGAACTTCCAGAGCTGTTTTGATAAGGACAGCACTGATGTGTGGCTGACAGAGACAATTACACCCTTGTGGTGTTGGGTTTTTCAATCAATAACAGGATGATACTTTCTATGGCCCTCTATCTCTCATTTTCCCCACACAGACATGTACATATTTATTCTCCCATATTTTGTAACTAAGTATGGTTTTACATATTTATAGAATGTAACACATGCATGCAGATGTTAACATCACTAAGTAGCTTTTAAAGGCTACTTTTTAAGGAAATAACTTGCAGCCTTCGCTCTCAGATCTGAATCTTTAGAAGCCCATACTATACCAACAGGAATTTCTATCTGTCTAGTAGTCACCATCCATCTGCCACATATAACTGCAGTTTTTATTATAAGCATTTAGTGTCATTGTCCCTGAAGTACAAGAATCTTACTAGATGGGAAAGGCCTGAATACTTTGACTTTAAACTGATTATTAACTAGGTCTATGAAACAACACCAAAATTTGGACCCAGAGAATTCCTGCAAACAGATGAGGCAGAAGGGGTACACCAGCCAATCTATTCTCACGCATGTGGGGCAAGAAGCCAGCTGCTGGATGACCGGTGGAACTGAACTCACTAGGGAAAGATGCTGAGGAAAGCTGGAGCTCCCTCATTTTAATTACGGACTTGAATGTGAAAACACAGTGAGAGAACAGAGAAGCACAAATAACTGTGAGTCACAACATTAAGCAGGGTGCTCCTTCCTCCCCAGGAAATGGGAGATCCCATATCCTGCCATTTGCAGTAAGATTTAGCACTTAGCTCTTGGAATTATGCCTGTTTTATCTCATCCACTCAATTCAAGAAACATGTGATGTGAGTTGATTTTCCTAGGGTGAACAGGTGCCATGTACTAGTCTGGGAGCAGTTAGTTCTCAGGGATTCCGTGGCTCTCGGAGGGAGTCATTCCCCTCACCTAGGTGAGCTGTGCATTCTCAGCAACCAGCAGAAAAATCTTTAGTGTCTGGGAATATTTGTTGTTGGTGTTGCTATTTACCTCATAGGTATTCATTAACAATTTTAATTTTAGGTAATAGGTTTATAACAGCTTCATACATATTTAATTTATGCTATATTTAAAGAGAATGTGTGAATTCAATAAAAACT